TAATATTTATTTAAGTGTACGTTGTGTTTTAAGGTATGTAAAGCCACCTTGAGTCCTTTCTGGGGTGAGAAAGGTGGGGTAGAAATGTCATAAATAAATGAATGAATAAATACATTCTGCATCAGAATGGACTCGTTCCGACCAGGCAATTGATCTATATTATCCAACAGAATGGATCCGATCCAACCAGGCAATGGGTCTATATCCTCTACCAGAATGGACCCAATCCGACCAGGCCATGGGTCTGTATTCTCCACCGGAATGGACCTGATCCGACCAAGCAATAGGTCTATATTCTCCATCAGAATGGACCCGATCTGACCAAGCAATGGGTCTATATTCTCCATCAGAATGGACCCGATCCGACCAGGCAATGGGTCTGTATTCTCCATCAGAATGGACTCGATCTGACCAGGCAATGGGTCTATATTCTCCATCAGAATGGACCCGATCTGACCAAGCAATGGGTCTATATTCTCCATCAGAATTGACCCGATCCGACCAGGCAATGGGTCTATATTCTCCATCAGAATGGACCCGATCCGACCAGGCAATGGGTCTGTATTCTCCATCAGAATGGACCCGATCTGACCAAGCAATGGGTCTATATTCTCCATCAGAATGGACCCGATCCGACCAGGCAATGGGTCTGTATTCTCCATCAGAATGGACTCGATCTGACCAAGCAATGGGTCTATATTCTCCATCAGAATGGACCCGATCCGACCAGGCAATGGGTCTGTATTCTCCATCAGAATGGACTCGATCTGACCAGGCAATGGGTCTATATTCTCCATCAGAATGGACCCGATCTGACCAAGCAATGGGTCTATATTCTCCATCAGAATTGACCCGATCCGACCAGGCAATGGGTCTGTATTCTCCACCAGAATGGATCCGATCCGGCCAAGCAATGGGTCTATATTCTCCACCAGAATGGACCCGATCTGACCAAGCAATGGGTCTGTATTCTCCATCAGAATAGACCCTATCTGACCAAGCAATGGGTCTACATTCTCCATCAGAACAGACCCGATCCAATCAAGCAATGTGTTTATATTCTCTACCGGAACAGACATAATCTGACCAAGCAATGGGTCTATATTCTCCATTAGAATGGACCAGATCTGAACAAGCAATGGGTCTATATTCTCCAATAGAATGGACCTGATCCAGCCAAGCAATGGGTCTATATTTCCTATCAGAATGGACCCGATCCGACCAAGCAATGGGTCTATATTCTCCATCAGAATGGCCCAATCCAACTGAAAAATCATGTTTTTTCCACCAAAATGGACACAATCCAAGCAAGCAATGGGCCCATATTCTCCACCAAAGTGGCCCCAATCCAAGCGATCAGTCATCTGTATTCTCTAATGGACCTAATAGAAGCCAACAATGGGTCTACATTTTCCTTCAGAAGACTGATGGTTATATGAGATGGATCTGCTTTGGGTTTTAGTCCGAAACTTTATGGGAGATATACATGGTTCTATAAGACAGGTCTGCTTTGATTTTAGTCCAGAACTTTATGGGAAATATACATGGCTCTATAAGATGGATCCGCTTTGGGTTTTAGTCCAGACCTTTATGGGAGATATACATGGTTCTATAAGATGGATCCGCTTTGGGTTTTAGTCCGGAACTTTATGAGAAAAATACATGGTTCTATAAGATAGACTCCCCCCCCCAAACACACCCCTTTATATCCCATAATGCCCCCCCCCCCACGTTTAACACTCCCCCATTGACTACCTGTGCAAACTCCTATTGGCCAATATAGAAACATCACTGAAGGCATTCTCCCATTGGGAGAGAGAGATCAGTAGAGCAACAGGCCATAGAGTTGGTGGGGCGGGATTGGAGAGAGCAGCATGGAAGGCATTGGAAAAAAGGTTTGGAGGCAATGGAGGACAAGAGTAGAGAGTTGCGTGGGGCTGATCAATAGGGATCAATTGGAGAAGAGTCTTGTCAACATTGGTCTTTGTCAACACTGTTCAATAGAGATGCCTGGATTGATGAATGGCCCATAGAGATGTAGTGATAAATTGATAGAAACAGATAGATAGATAGATAGATAGATAGATAGATAGATAGATAGATAGGGTGATAGATAAAAGAGGATGATCAAGAGAGTGCAAATATAGATAGAGGATGGATGGATGGATGGATGGATGGATGAATAGATAGAGTGATAGAGAAAGAAGATGATGGATGGATGGATGGATGGATGGATAGATGGATGGATGGATGGATAGATAGATGATAGATAGATAGATAGATAGATAGAGGGATGTAGAGAGAACATGATGGATGGATAGATGGATGGATAGGGTGATATAGAGAGAAGACAATGGATGTATTGATAGATGGCTAGATGGATCGATGGTTGGAGTTATATGCAGTGGAGGGGGGTTGCAATGGAGGGGGGTCCTGGAGCCATGGGAGTGGGGTCTTGTCCACATCAGGGTGGGGAGTTGAATAGATAGATAGATAGATAGATAGATAGATAGATAGATAGATAGGACAATTGATGTATACATAGATGAGTGGTTCCCAACGTTTGGTCCTCTAGTTGTTTGGGACTTCAAGTCCCAGACATCCCAGCCAGTTTACCAGCTGTAAGGTGTAGGTAGATAGATGGATGGTGTAGATAGATAGATGGACTGATGTATGGATGGATGTATAGATAGATAGAGGGCCAGAGAGAGAAGTGATAGACAAATAGTTCTATGGATGAAGACTGCAATGGAGGCGTTCGTGGAGGTGTGGAAGTGGGGTCTTGCTACCTATCAATGAATGGAAGGATGGATAGATGGATGGTCATGTTTACCTTTGAGCTCGTCCTCAGGGATGTCGGGGGTAATGGATAGATAGATAATGTGATATAGAGAGAAGACAACAAATGTATTGCTCGGTGGATAGATAGATGGATGGATGGATACACAGAGTGATATGCAATGGAGGAGGGGTTCTGGAAGTGTGGGAGTGGGGTCTTGTCTTGTCCACATGCGGGGGATGGGGGAGTTGAATGGATGAATGGATAGATAGATAGATAGATAGATAGATAGATAGATAGATAGATGATAGATAGGGAAGACAATAGAAGTATAGCTAGATCAGTGGTTCCCAACCCTTGGTCCTCCAGATGTTTTGGACTTTAAGTCCCAGAAATCCCAGATAGCTTAGCAACTGTAAGGAATTGTGGGAGCTGAAGTCCAAAACACCTGGAGGACCAAGGGTTGGGAACCACTGATGTAGAAAGATGGATGGATGGATGGACGGATGTATAGATAGATAGAGGGACAGAGAGAGAAGTGATAGATGAATAGGTGTATGGATGAAGACTGCAATGGTGGGGGGTCCTGGAGGCGTGGTAGCATGGTCTTGATGCCCATCAAGCTATCAATGGATAGGTGGATGGATAGGGTGATACAGATATTAGATAGATAGATAGATAGATAGATAGATAGATAGATAGATAGATAGATAGATAGATAGGCAAGACAATGGTGTATACATAGATCAGTGGTTCCCAACCTTTGGTCGTCTAGTTGTTTTGGACTTCAAGTCCCAGAAATACCAGCCAGCATACCAGTTGTAAGGTGTAGGTAGATAGATGGACGAATGGAAGTATAGACAGATAGAGGGACAGAGAGAGAAGTGGTAGATAAATAGGTCTATGGATGAAGACTACAAAGGAGGGGGCTCCTGGAGGTGTGGGAAGGTGGTCTTGATGCCCATCAAGCTATCAATGGATGGGTGGATGGATAGGGTGGTACAGAGCTTAAATAGATGATAGATAGATAGATAGATAGATAGATAGATAGATAGGGAAGACAATGGATGCATAGATAGACAAGTTGTTCCTCCAGTTGTTTTGGACTTCAAGTCCCAGAAATCCCAGCCAGCTTACCAGCTGTAAGGTGTAGGTAGATAGATGGATGGTATAGATAGATAGATGGACTGATGTATGGATGGATGTATAGATAGATAGATAGATAGATAGATAGATAGATAGAGGGCCAGAGAGAGAAGTGGTAGATCAATAGGTCTGTGGATGAAGACTGCAAAGGAGATGTGGGAAAGTCCTGGAGATGTGGGAACGTGGTCTTGATGCCCATCAAGGTATCAATGGATGGGTGAATGGATAGGGTGATAGAGATTAGATAGATAGATAAATGGATGGATGGATGGATGGATAGATAAGACAATGGATGCATAGATAGACCAGTGGTTCCTCCAGTTGTTTTGGACTTCAAGTCCCAGAAATCCCAGCTGTAAGGTGTAGGTATATAGATGGATGGACGGAAGTATAGACAGATAGACGGACAGAGAGAGAAGTGGTAGATAAATAGGTGTATGGATGAAAACTGCAAAGGAAGGGGGTCCTGGAGACGTGGGAACGTGGTCTTGATGCCCATCAAGCTATCAATGGATGGGTGGATTGATAGGGTGATACAGAGATTAGATAGATAGATGGATGGATGGATGGGGAAGACAATGGATACATAGATAGACCAGTGGTTCCTCCAGTTGTTTTGGACTTCAAATCCCAGAAATCCCAACTGTAAGGTGTAGGTATATAGATGGATGGAAGGAAGTAAAGACAGATAGACGGACAGAGAGAAGTGGTAGATAAATAGGGGCAAACGAGGGGGGTCCTGGAGATGTGGGAACGTGGTCTTGATGCCCATCAAGCTATCAATTGATAGGGTGATACAGAGGTAAGATAGATAGATGGATGGATGGATGGGGAGGACAATGGATACATAGATAGACCAGTGGTTCCTCCAGGTGTTTTGGACTTCAAGTCCCAGAAATCCCAGCCAGTTTACCAGCTGTAAGGTGTAGGTAGATGGATGGATGGAGGGAAGTATAGAGAGATAGAGGGACAGAGGGAGAAGTGGTAGATGGATGGGTCTATGGATGAAGCCTGCCCTGGAGGGGGCTCGTGGAGGGGCCCCCTCAAGCGGCCCAGGGGTGGTCTTGGTGTTTACCTTCGAGCTCGTCCTCGGGGATGTCGGGGGCGTCGCGGGGGCCGCGTTCCTGGGCGGCCAAGAGGTTGGGCAGCGTGTAGATGCCGCGGTACATCAAGGCGGCGGTCACCGGGTGGAACGGCATCCTGGGGGAAGGGGTCGCGGCCAGGGGCCCCCCTTGGCATCCAGGAAGGAATCAAGGAAGGACGGAGGAAAAACGGAGAGGAAGCCTTCCTTCTCTGCCTGCCTCACTCACTCACGCCTTCATTCACATTCCAGGCACGCGTCCCCTTCCCTCGTTCTCTCCTCCTCCTTCTCCTCCTCCTCCTCCTCCTCTCCAATGCGCATCACACATTGGGGAAGGAGGGAAGGAAGGAAAACAGGGAAGGAGGAATGAATGAGTGAGTGAGTGGAAGGAAGGCTAAAGCAAGGCAAAGGAGAGCCTTCTCTCTTTCTCTCTCTCTTCGGGGAGAGAAGGCGGGTTATCAATAAAGTCTTATTATTATTATTATTATTATTATTATTATTATTATTATTACTACTATTATTAGCTCCCCAGTTCCCTTCTCTCTCTCTCTCTCTTGTCTCCTTCCTTCCTTCACCTACAAGGCACACATCCCCTTCTCTCTCTTTCCCTCCTCCTCTTTGGCAAGGTGCATCGGAAGTAAGGAAGGAAGGTTGATAAGGAAGAGATAGGAAGGAAGGAAAGAAGGAAGGAAGGAAGGAAGGAAGGAAGGAAGGAAGGAAGGAAGGAAGAAGGAAGGAAGGAGAAAGAGAGAGAAGGAAGGAATAGAAGGAAGGGATAGGAAGGGAGGGAGGGAGGAAGATTGATGGATATAAGAAAGAGATAGAAAGGAGGAAGAGATAGGAGGGATTGACTAGAAGGAAGGAAGGAAGGAAGGAAGGAAGGAAGGAAGGAAGGAAGGAAGATTGATGGATATAAGAAAGAGATAGATAGATAGATAGATAGATAGATAGATAGATGGATAGGAATGAGAGAGAAGAGGGAAGAAGGGAAGGAAGAATTGAATAAAAGGAAGTGATAGGAAGGAAGGAAGGAAGGAAGGAAGAGGGAAGGAAGGAAAAAGGAATAAGGATATAAGAAAGAGATAGATAGATAGATAGATAGATAGATAGGAAGGAAGGAAGGAAGATGGATATAAGAAAGAGCTAGACAGATAGGAATGAGAGAGAAGAGGGAAGAAGGGAAGGAAGGATTGAATAAAAGGAAGTGATAGGAAGGAAGGAAGGAAGGAAAAGGAAGGAAGGAAGGAAGGAAGGAAGGAAAAGGGAAGGAAGGAAGGAGAGGTGGAAAAAGAGGAAAGCAATAGGAAGGAAGGAAGGAAGGAAGGAAGGAAGGAAGGAAGGAAGGAAGGAAAGAGAGAGAATAAGGAAGGGGGAAGGAAGGATTGGATAGAAGGAAGGGATAGGAAGGAAAGAAGATTGATGGATATAAGGAAGAGATAGATAGATAGATAGAGAGATAGATAGATAGATAGATAGATAGGAATGAGAGAGAAGAAGGAAGGAAGGAGGGAAGGAAGGATTGAATAAAAGGAAGGAATAGGAAGGAAGGAAGAAAAAAGAAGGAAGGAAGGAAAAGGGAAGGAAGGAAAAAGGAAGGAAGGAGAGGTGGAAAAAGCGGAAAGCAATAGGAAGGAAGGAAGGAAGGAAGGAAGGAAGGAAGGAAGGAAGGAAGGAAGGAAGGAAGATAGATAGATAGGAGAGAGAAGAAGGAAGGAGGGAAGGAAGGATTGAATAGAAGGAAGGGATAGGAAGGAAGGAAGAATGATTGATATAAGGAAGAGATAGAAAGGAGGGAAGGAGGAAGAAGAAGGAAGGAAGGGGGAAAGGAAGGAAGGATTGGATATAAGAAAGAGGAGAAGATAGAAGAGAGAGAAGAGGGAAGAAGGGAAGGAAGGAGATAAAGGAGATAGGAAGAAGAGGAAGGAAGAAGGAAAAAGGAAGGAAGGAAGGAAGGAAGGAAGGAAAAGGGAAGGAAGGAAGGAGAGGTGGAAAAAGAGGAAAGCAATAGGAAGGAAGGAAGGAAGGAAGGAAGGAAGGAAGGAAGGAAGGAAGGAAGAGAGAGAGAATAAGGAAGGGGGAAGGAAGGATTGAATAGAAGGAAGGGATAGGAAGGAAAGAAGATTGATGGATATAAGGAAGAGATAGATAGATAGATAGATAGGAATGAGAGAGAAGAAGGAAGGAAGGAGGGAAGGAAGGATTGAATAAAAGGAATAGGAAGGAAGGAAGAAAAAAGAAGGAAGGAAGGAAAAGGGAAGGAAGGAAAAAGGAAGGAAGGAGAGGTGGAAAAAGCGGAAAGCAATAGGAAGGAAGGAAGGAAGGAAGGAAGGAAGGAAGGAAGGAAGGGAGATTGATGGATATAAGAAAGAGATAGATAGATAGATAGGAATGAGAGAGAAGAAGGAAGGAGGGGAGGAAGGATTGAATAAAAGGGATAGGAAGGAAGGAAGGAAGGAAAAGGGAAGGAAGGAAAAAGGAATAAGGATATAAGAAAGAGATAGATAGATAGATGATAGGAAGGAAGGAAGATGGATAAAATAAAAGGAGATAGATAGATAGATAGATAGATAGATAGATGGATGGAATGGATGGAGAGATGGAAGAAGGGAAGGAAGGATTGAATAGGATAGGAAGGAAGGAAGGAAGGAGAAGGAAGGAAGGAGAGGTGGAAAAAGAGGAAAGCAATAGGAAGGAAGGAAGGAAGGAAGGAAGGAAGGAAGGAAGGAGAGAGAATAAGGAAGGGGGAAGGAAGGATTGAATAGAAGGAAGGAAAAAGGAAGGAAGGAGAGGTGGAAAAAGCGGAAAGCAATAGGAAGGAAGGAAGGAAGGAAGGAAGGAAGGAAGGAAGGAAGGAAGGAAGGAGAGAGAATAAGAAAAGAGGGAAGGAAGGAAGGAAGGAAGATTGATGGATATAAGGAAGAGATAGATAGATAGATGAGAGAAGAACGAAGGAGGAAAGGAATGATTGAATAGAAGGAAGGTGTAGGGAGGGAGGAAGGAAGTGAGGAAAAAAGGAAGGAAAGAAGGAAAGAAAGAAGGAAGGAAGGAAGGAAGATGGAAAGGAAGAAAGAAGGAAGGAGAGAAGGGAAAGAGAAACAAGGAGGAAGGAAGGAAGGAGAGAAGGAAAGAAGAGATAGAGGAAGGAAGGAAGGAAGGAAGAGAAGAAGGAAGGAAGGAAGGAGAGAGAGAAGGAAGGAGGGAAGGAAGGATTGAATAGAAAAGGGATAGGTAGGTAGGTAGGAAGGAAGGAAGGAAGGAAGGAAAAAGGGAAGGGAGGGAGGGAGGGAGATTGATGGATATAAGGAAGAGATAGATATATAGAAAGGAAGGAAGGAGAAGAAGGAAGGATGGATTGAATAGCAGGAGGGGGCAGGAAGGAAGGAAGAATGATGGATATAAGGAAGAGATAGATAGATAGATAGATAGATAGATAGATAGATAGATAGATAGGTAGATGAGAGAAGAAGGAAGGAGGAAAGTAAAGACTGAATAGAAGGAAGGTATAGGGAGGAAGGGAGGAAGGAAGGAAGGAATCTTGATGAATATAAGGAAGAGATAGAAAGGAAGAACAGAGAGAGAAGAAGGAGGGAAGATTTGAATAGAAGGGAGGGATAGGAAGGAAGGTTGGTTGATGGATATAAGGAAGAGATAGAAAGGAAGAAAGGAGAAGGGGAAGGAAGGAGGGAAGGAGAATAGAGGGAAGGGATAGGAATGAAGGAAGAAATGAAGAAAGGAAGGAAAAAGGAAGGAAGGAAGGAAAATGGATGGATATAAGGAAGAGATAGAAGGAAAGAAGGAGCAAGGAGAAGGAAGGAGGGAAAGATTGAATAGAAGGAAGGGATAGGAAGGAAGGAAGGAAGGAAGGAAGGAAGGAAGGAAGGAAGGAAGGAAGGCCGATTGATATAATGAAGAGATAGATCAAAAGGAGGGAAGGAGGAAGAAGAAGGAAGGAAGGAAGGAAGGAGGAAAAGAAGGGAGGACTGAATAGAAGCAAGAGATAGGAAGGAAGGAAGATTGATGAATATAAGAAAGATCGATAGAAAGGAAGGAAGGAAGGAGAAGGGAAGGTAGAAGGAAGGAAGGGATAGGAAGGAAGGAAATGAGGGGAGGAAGGAAGGAAGGAAGATTGATGGATATAAGGAAGAGATAGATAGATAGATAGATAGATAGATAGATAGATAGATAGGAGAGAGAAGAAGGAAGGAGGGAAGGAAGGATTGAATAGAAGGAAGGGATAGGAAGGAAGGAAGAATGATTGATATAAGGAAGAGATAGAAAGGAGGGAAGGAGGAAGAAGAAGGAAGGAAGGGGGAAAGGAAGGAAGGATTGAATAGAAGCAAGGGATACGAAGGAAGGAAGGAAGGAAGGAAGGAAGGAAGGAAGGAAGGAAGGAAGGAGAAGGGAAGGAAGGAAGGAAGGAAGGAAGGAAGGAAGGGAGGAAGGGATAGGAAGGAAGGAAATGAGGGGAGGAAGGAAGGAAGGAAGATTGATGGATATAAGGAAGAGATAGATAGATAGATAGATAGATAGATAGATAGATAGATAGATAGAGGAAGGAGAGAGAAGAAGGAAGGAGGGAAGGAAGGATTGAATAGAAGGAAAAGATAGGAAGGAGGAAGGAAGGAAGGAAGGAAGGAAGGAAGGAAGGAAGGAAGGAAGGAAGGAAGGAAGGTTGATGAATATAAGGAAGGAAGATTGATGGATATAAGGAAAAGATTCAAAGGAGTGAAGGGGGGAGAAGTAGGAAGGAAGGAATGAAGGATTGAATAGAAGCAAGGGATAGGAAGGAAGGAAGCAGGGAAGATTGATGGATAAAGAATGAAAGATAGAAGGAAGGAAGGAGAGAGAAGGAAGGAAAGAGAAGAAAGATAGGAAGGAAGGAAGGAAGGAGGAAAGGAAGGAAGAAGGGGAGGGAGGGAGGGAGGAGGGAGGGAGGAAGGAGGAAGAAGGAAGGAAGGAAGGAAGGAAGGAAGGAAGGAAGGAAAAAAAGGAAAGAAGGAAGGAAAGAAAGGGGGAGGGAGGGAGGGAGGAAGGAAAGAAGGAAGGAAGGAAGGAAGGAAGATTGATGGATATAAGGAAGAGATAGATAGATAGATAGATAGATAGATGATAGATAGATAGATAGATAGGAGACAGGAGAGAGAAGAAGGAAAGAAGGAAGGATTGAATAGAAAGAAGGTATAGGGAGGGAGGGAGGGAGGGAGGAAGATTGATGAATATAAGGAAGGAAGATTGATTGATATAAGGAAGATATAGACAGAAAGGAGGGAAGGAGGGAGAAGAAGGAAGGAAGGAGGAAAAGAAGGAACTAAGGATTGACTAGAAGGACTAGAAGGAAGGAAGGAA